TTTCAATAAATCCTTTCTGCTGCTGACAGCTATGGTCTGAGGTTTGGTTCAAAGGGAAAGCAGATAGAGAGTTTTGGGTGCATATTTGAAAATTCCCAATGATTTGTTCATTAGAACTTTTTTTTTTCCTTTTGGGTCACACCCAGTGATGCACAGGGGTTACTCCTGGCTCTGCACTCAGGAATTACCCCTGGCGGTGCTCGGAGGACCATATGGGATGCTGGGAATCGAACCCGGGTTGGCTGCATGCAAGGCAAAGGCCCTACCCGCTGTGCTATTGCTCCAGCCCCCATTAGAACATTTTTTAAATGGAGTCACTGCTTTTGTAAACATTTGCCTCTTGATGAAAATGCGTAGGACAGTGTAGCAACTGCTTTAAATACTACTTGCTAAAAAAAGTAGGGCTATTTTTAAAATGAATGCTTGTATTGATTTGTTTCTTTTTGTTGTTGTTTTGATTTTTGCTTTTTTTTTTTTTTTGGCTGTAACTTCAATAGTTGGGATGGGACATAGGCTTTTGGCCCACACTTGGCTGTGCTCAGTGCTTATTCCTAGTTCTGCATTCAGAAATCACTCCTGCTGGTGTTCAGAGGACCAAATGTGATTCTAAAGACCAAACTAGGGTCCGAGAATCTGATGCATGCAAGGCTAGCACCTTAACTACTTCCCTATCTTTCCAGCCCCTCATTGTTTTGTTTCTGTGCTCTCAAGTTAATAGCTATGCAGAATGGTTAATGTATTGGGTGCACATTTAACTCCTTTTGCATCTCAAACACTGCACTTCTTTGTGTGTAAGGATGCATTCTCTATTCAGTACATTTTTGAGATCCTTGTCTAAATGTTTATCTTGAAATTCTAATATATCAGTGGAGTTTATAAAATACAGTGCTACTACCTTTCATTAAAATTTTTGAACAGGGAATGCCAGAAGCATGCATTGTATAGAGGGTAAGGATTTGGGGGAAGTTATGAGTTTTATTTGAGTACAACAGCTAATGGCATGTTTAAGTTTAATGACACATAAGTACCACTGTGAGTTAATTGACTCTAATTATAGTAATTAATTGTGTTATTAATGTTAGCAACTTAAGGCATAAAGTCTCTTTTGTTCTCTGAGTAGTCATTACTTTTGAAATGCACGTTGAAAATCATTCTTTGCGTGTGTGCATGGGTGTGCAGCATACCCAGTGGCAGTCTCAGACCCACTTATTAGAACTTGGGCCTCAGGATCCTGCTTGTCTCTCAGATCTTGTTTGCTTATTCTGTCCTTATTTATAGGTGCTCTTTGTTGTATGTTCTTTCTCTCTTCTTCTTCTTCTTCTTCTCTCTCTCTCTCTCTCTCTCTCTCTCTCTTTCTCTCTCTCTCTCTTCTCTCCTATCCTTCTATGGGCTTCAAGACTCTTAAAAACACGGCTTGACTGATCATCTTTGGCCTTGTGGTATGAGGGCAGTATTTAGCTTTCCTGGGAAGTGGAGACACAAACTCACCATCCTGTGGGAAAGTTGGGAAAAGTGGGAAAAGTCAGAATTGGGTACTGTTTAGCATGGGGTGAGGCTGTGGTGAGCTGGGTTTCACATCTCTGGCATCTGGAGCCTGTTGCTGAATGAGGGGGAAGTTTTGGCTTAGAGAAGCATGAGGAAGAGAACCAAGAGGGATGTTTGACTTTGCTTTAAGCCAGAGTTTATGATCAGACAGTTTGAGAAGCTGTGTTTTCTGTCCTAGGGCCCTTGAAGTGGGCTTCCATCCAGTTTGCCTTGGGGGCATGGCATAATAAAAATAATAATAATAAATGCTACTGTGTATTGTGGGCTGGAGCACAGTGGTAGGGCGTTTGCCTTGCATGTGGCAGACCCGGTTGACCCGAGTTCAATTCCTGCGCCCCTCTCAGAGAGCCCGGCAAGCTACCGAGAGTATCTTGCCTGCATGGCAAAGCCTGGAAAGCTACCCGTGACGTACTCGATATGCCAAACATAGTAACAACAAGTCTCACAATGAGTATGGATTTGTATTTGCTTCAGGACCTCTACTCAGTGCTATTTTCTTCCTTGTACTGTTATAGGGAAGTTCCTTCCTTCCTTCCTTCTTTCCTTCCTTCCTTCTTTCCTTCCTTCCTCCCTCCCTCCCTCCCTCCCTCCCTCCCTCCTTCCTTCCCTCCCTTCCTCCCTCCCGTGTGTGGTTGAGTTTCTTTTTCTTGTTTTTGTTTAATTTGGGAGATCTACTAGGACTATAGTTGGTGGTGCTGGTAGGCCATGTGGTAGTAGGATTTGAACCCAAGACCTAGTGGATACCAAGCATGCTATCTAACCCTTCGGCCTGTTTTCTCTGCTCCATGTAATATCTTCAAGCTCATGTGCTGGACAGATAGTACAGTGCATAAGGTACTTACTTGGCATGTGGCCAACTCGGTTTGATCCCCAGTATTCCATATGGTCCCCTGAGCACTACCAGGAATAATTCCTGAGTGCAGAGCCAGGAGTAACCCGTGTGCATCGCCAGGTGTGGCCCAATAAAAAACAAAACCAAAAAACTCTCTTTGAAACTCTCTTTTACCACCTGTCAAACAGATTCAAATTTCTGTTTGTCCTCACTAACTACTGGTGCCCAATAATAGCCATTATTTTTTTTTCCTGGATATCTTTTCTTGAAGCAGTGAAAGACTATGTGACAGGAGTCACCTCTAAAAAACATGAGAAGAAAATTTCTCTATCATAATTTCCTGGTCAAAATAAGTGATCTGATCACTCTGTGATGCCTCTTCTCTTCTTTTACATTCTCCTTGAGCACACACCTCTCTCTCTCTCCCTCTCTCTCTCTCTTTCTCTCTCTCCTTCCTCTCTCTTCCTCTCTCCCCCCTCCCTTTCTCTCTCTCTCCCTCTCTCCCTCTTTCTCTCTCTCTCTCCCTTACCTAAGAGTGCTTCCCTTTTCTGATTAAACTTGTATTGAGAGCTGGAGAGATGGTGCAGTGGTTCAGGCATTGGCCTTGCAGATGACAGACCTGAGTGCCACCCTGGAACCCTGCGTGGTTCCCCAAGCCTACCAGTGTGATCCCTGAGCACAGCTCGGTGTGGCCCCAAAGAATGCTTCTGTAACCAATCCATAATTACAAACAAGGGGTTAAGTTAATCTCTAGGTGGCAAGTTTTAGTCCAGGTAGCAGTGATCGTATTAATCTTTGATTCGTTCTTATCTGAGTTAACAGAGAGGCACAATAGACACCAGTCTTAAAAGTACATCGTTGTCTTCATGTGCTTTGTTTCTGCATCAATAAAAATAATTGATCTTGGAGGTACTTTCACATGTACGGTTGTGCACTCTTGAAGCTTAAGTGATCCACAAAGCAATATTTTAAAAGAAGCATGTGTTTACAGTGAAATTTATGAGAAATTGGACAGCAGTTCTGAAAAATGCTTCCCCTTCAAGATCAAAGGAGAAGCATTTGCTTATGATTAGAGTGATTTATACTGATCTTGACCTAAGGACTTCCCACAACGGCTTCCTTTCTACACATTGTGCATTTTTAAAAGACACAACACTTGTTGCTGCCATATAATATGTAAAAGGTATATTGATGATAGAAAGTATTACTGCTTCAAACAAATTCAGGCTATTGGGACTTTCAGAGCCAAGGGAAAATGAACTATCTAAATAATGAATGTCCTTGTAGTCTTTTCTGTAACTCTCACAATTCATAATATTGCTGCAATTACCAGTCAAAGAGAAGAAAATTCTCTAAGTGAGTAGTTGTAGGAAGCCCTTCTGGCTATCAGTGAGGCTCAAAGTCATATTTAGGGAGCTACTGTTAATTTTTAAAGTTGACTTTTTGGCCCACACTTGGCTGTACCCAGCTCTTACCCCCAGCTCTGTGCTTAGGGGTCACTTAGTGGAAGCAGGGAACTGCTTGTCATGCCGGGTTGAACCTGGTAGACTGCGCGGAAGCCCAGCACCTTGCCAGCACTCCCTCTAACCTCCGGAGCTGCTGTGTGCAACAGGCCTTGGATTTGTTTCTCTGTGTTGGATGTTTCTTTATTTCCTTTATAAATGTTGGACATTATACACGCAGCAAGAGTTGAGGGGTTTTCTGCTTCTAAGTTTAAATCATGCGTGTAGACAGCCTGAATGTTGAGTAATAGACACATGTTACATTAGGGGGGTCAAATTAGGTTGTGGTGCTCATGCACTCAGCTCTGGTGCATCCCAGAGGCCACATTCCCACTGTGTACGTGCACACGTGCCGGCTGGGATTGCTTCTCCAGTTGGGTCTTGTGTGCTTTCTTGTGGCGGTGCTCACTGTCCGTCAGTAGATGCTCACCACAGTGTCTGCCTTCCCCGCTGAGTGTTAGAACTTCCTTGAGTGCTGGAAAATTTCCTGTGGCACATGGACATCTGGTTAATATCAAAGATGTACAAAGATCTTATGTGACTTAATAATCAAAAAGATAACTGGATAGAAGATTTGAATGAATTTTTTTTCAAAACACGATATCTAGTTGACTGACTGGTATAGAATGAAGCAATTTGTTATCACTGGAATCAGGGAAGTGCAAGTTTAGACAGACTAATCCATCTATCTTCCAACAACTGAATATTCAATAAGTTTACTTGTATTGAAACTGTTGAGCCTGTCATTTGAATTAAAATGTTTTTTTTTTCTGACTTCTTTCTAGTTGACTGTATATTGCATCATTTTCATCTGTACCAATCACACACTCCTGTTGCACAATAAAGAAATGCAGAAATGATCAGGGAGCTTTTCTAAAAGCATAAAACAAATGTAGGGTAGGCATGGTGATTTACAACCTGTGAATGATAGGGTTTCATGCATGTGGTGTTTATCAGGGAGCTTTTTTTTTTTTCCAGAAAATTATTTTAGCTTTTTATGGAGCCAATTAGAATTTAGAAAAACAAAGTCATTCCCATTTTACACTAAGATGATTTTTCTTTAATTTCTAAGGTGTGTCTCCACTGATGAGGTTGTTTTTTTCTTCTTCTTCTCATTACAGCTAAAAGATGGTGGCAAGGCATCCCAAGCTAATGTAAGAATAGGTGATGTGGTCCTCAGCATTGACGGGATCAGCGCACATGGAATGACTCATCTGGAAGCCCAGAATAAGATTAAGGGTTGTACAGGTTCCTTGAATATGACTCTGCAGAGGTAAGTTGCTTGTGTTTGACTTTGAGAGAAAAGACAAGAGTGAGCAGTGTGGCTTTGTGTGTGTTTGTGTGTGTGTGTATGTGTGTTAATTCATGGTATAAAATAAAAATAGCTTCACTGCTGATATTTCATGTTGGTAAATAAAAATATATAATAGTTCTTTGATGGGATAATCAAGCAGTGTGATAACTGTTATAAGCTTTGGATTATTTGCCACACACAAAACCCACATATGTTCACATGCTTATAAAAGTTGCGTGTGCATTTTCACATTATATAAAAATTACTGAAATTTACCACTGGAATATTATAGGGTATAAACTCTTGGCTTAATATTCTGAGCAATATCGTATTAGAGAATATTATTTTAATATATGATTTGTTTTGTATTTGTCACTTGTCCTACATCAGAATTACCTGGATTGCTTCTTAGTAGAAAACATATAGAATGAGGAGTAGGTATTATATCTTAATAAATTCACTGTTGGTTATTATGAATTACAGTAATCCGTTATTATAATCTGCCAACTTGGGTTCAATTTCCGGCATCCCATATGGTCCCTCCAGTTCACCAAAAGTGATTCCTGATTGCAGAACCTGGAGTAACCCCTAAGTACCACTGGGTATGGCCCCCAAACTGACAGACAAATCCTAAATCCTAATTCTGGTTAGAAAATCAGAATTTTTTTTATTTTTAAAATTTTTATTAGTGAAACACCATGATATTTTAAATCACAACATTTATGGTAATTTGTTACACTGCAAGTGAAACAAACAACAGAAGTGGTTTGACCCAATATTAATATCGATTCTTTTTATTTTTTAATTTTTTTATTAGTGAAACACCATGAGGTACAGTTATAGACCCACAAATTTTGTGCTTGGGTTTCAGTTATACAACGATCAAGTACCCATCCCTCCACCAGTGCCTATCATCCACCACCACGGATCCCAGCATCCCCCCCACACCCCCCATCCCCCCCGTCCCACCCTGCCTCTGTGGCAGGGCATTCCCCCTTGTTCTCTCTCTCTTCTTTTGGGCACTGTGTTTTGCAAGAGAGGCATTGAGTGGCAATCATGTTTGGTCTATAGACTACTTTTAGCATGCTTCTCCCACCCTGGGAGGGTCCTCACAACACCCTTTATTTGGTGCTCTCTTCTCTATCTGAGCTTCCTTTTCACCTAGCTCGTGTGGCTGGCCTTCAAGTCATGGAGCAAAATTCCTGGTACTAATCTCAGCCATTCCTGGGTGTTAGTCTCCCTTTTTGTTGCTTTATGTTCCCCAGATGAATGCAATCTTTCTGTGTCTATCCCGCTCTTGAAAATCAGAAATTTTAAATAAATGAAAAAAAATTAAATATTTCTCAGGCTGATAGTACCTTTTTATTTATTTATTTATTTATTTTTTTTACAGAAGTACTAAATAAAAAACTTGAGGAAAATCAAACTGAGTAGCAAAAGACCGCTAAAATGCCTTCTCATATTTTGTTTTCCTACATATATACATATGTTTGTGTGAGTGTGTGTGTATGTGTGTACATATGTTCAAATGTGTGAAGAAAAGATTTTTCAAGTGCCTGTAACATTTGGCGTGTTAGATTTTGCCTTCAAATCACTTAAAAGACTCTTTTAGTAGAGTTAGTGGCAAATACTAAGAATTTGTATCTAAACATGGTAACATCTGTTTCTCATCTATTCTTATAATACCCAAAAATATTTTCAATAGAAAAATAGTACACTGGCCCTGGATTGTAAAATAGGGAGCACACCATGAAAATAAATAAGCTGGTAGGGAAAAAGTGAGAGGGCCCATGAGAAGAACCTGTAGCCTATTTAAACTTTCAACCCCAAAGCTGAAAAACAACCCATCATCATATCTTGTTGTGTTGTATTTCAGGCAAGTTAAAGTGCTTGACTATGTGTTCAAAATTCATAGTTAATAAAATGAAAATGATAAAGTTCTTTCATTTGTAAGATTTCTTGCATCAGGTTTCCCAATACACAGAACAAAAATAATACTATCAAACTAGAACTTTCTTTTGGTTTCTTTTTGGTTATTTATTTTGATTTTTTGATTTTTTGGGCCACGTTGACTGTACTCTGGTCTTATTCTGCTCCTCCTTTTTCCCGGCTTTGCTCAGGGATTTCTCGTGGCAGGTTGAGGAACCATAAGCAGTGCCAGAGATAAAACCCAAGTTTGTTGCTACAGGCAAGGCAAGTGCCTGATCCCTTGTACTATTTTTCTGGCTTCAAGATTTAAATTTAAGAGAATTTCACATATAACATTGACAATACTAGTGGAGAAATATTTTTGCTTTTAAGGGGAAAAAAATCCCCAAACTTTGACGAGTTAATATTTCTGTATTGAGACCATTTTTCATTTAAATTCTTTGTCTTATATTTTGATAAGAAAGAAATCTTTTCTCTGACTTTCTTCTGAATTGAAATAATGGTAGAAAATACTTATTACACACCATGAGAACAAAACTATCCGAGATGTTGTCAAATGCAGATGATTCACTGAAAAATTTCTTTACTTCCAAGGACTGGGTCCCACTGAAGAAATAAAATGTTTTACATGGAACAGCTAATTACACAAAAGATAGTATTAGCTTAACTATACTAAACTAGCTTACAGTTAGAAAAATTACAATAGTCCTTTACCTATCTCCTAGGCAACACAGCCCTAGGAAGCAGACACTTAAAGTCTTGTTTAATTTTAATGCTTTATTGTAAAATTTATTTGAAGGTTTACTTTTAATTTTTTGGATTTTGTGCCCCCACCCGCAGTGCTCAGGGGTTCCTTCTGGCTCAGCACCAGGGATCACTCCTGGAGGGGCTTGGGATGTGTTGCTGGGGACTGAACCTGGGTCGGCTATGTTTAGCATCTCACCTTCTCTGCTATCTCTCTGTACCTCAAATTTGATCTGTCATTGTAAAATTTTAGTTTGTGGAATTTTTGTGTGCCACAACAGAGCTCTAAAAAAGGGAATGATAACAAGAGTAGCATTGAAATCAGGGAAATTTGAAGGAAGCCTTGGTTACGATTTCACTTCTCACCAGCTGACCTGGGGCAAGGTGTCGCTGGTTTTAGTTAGCCACTTGTGAAAGGACTTTGTGACTGTGCTGCTTGTCTTCTGAGGCTGCTATAAAGATTAAATGAATTAGCAACAGCTGGGAAGAGTTTAGGACACAATAAAGATAAATTGTCTCTCTTTATCTACCTCTGTTCTTAGTTGATAAAGTAGTATTAATAATGTATTCATTATAAATTTACTTCTAAGAGATCATATTTATTTTGTTTCTTAGCAACAAAGTGGGTGTGGCTGGAGAGAAATAGGGAGGAAATGAGAAGTTTGGTGGGCAGTTATCTGAGGTCAGAAGTATGAAGTATTAGAAGAATGCTTTAGTCAACTGACTGATTTTTTTATCATAAAATTATAATCAAACATCTTTAAGTGCAGTGAATGAAACATTCTGCATATTGCGTCTCACTAGTGCTGTGGTTGGGATTACTGTCTTAACCGATAATTCATGGCAGCAAAGAGAAACCAGTGCATGCGTAGTCTGTTTATCCTGCCCTTGTCATCTCTTGAGCAGTAATAATACAGGTGTGTTTTTCCTTTACTGTTGTGAAGACACATCAAACAAAAAGGAGGTATTTTTTCTCTTGCCCTTAGGTCCAAATTCACTTGTAAGTTGTTTTCTTGAGTAATCTATTAAAAATCAGGCTGATTTCATCATTCCATACTACTTGTAAACTTGTTGTTGCTGAGTCTTTGGAGGCTATACTCCTGGCTCAGTGCTCGGGGATCACTTCTGGCTCCCAGGGGAGCACCCGTGGCGGTGGGGACCCAGCCGGGCCGGCCTGTGTTGACTGTATGCACATCCTGCGCCCTGCCCCCATTCTCTCACGGCCAGCCAGACCGGCTGTGAATGGTGTGGGCTTCCCTGGGTCAGTTCTTCTTTTGGTCTTGCTGCTTGCAGGACTCAGTATTCAGTCTCTGCCTTTGGCATTTGTCATTCTAATTATATATGTCTTGGAGTTTTTTGACTTGGGTCTGTTTTTGCTGGGACCTTCTGGGGCTCTTGGATCTGGGTGCCTGCTCGCCTCAACTCTGGGGAATCTCATTTATGATTTCTTTAATGAGTGGTTCTTCATCAGACCTTCATCAAAGTCTCTGAAAAACTTCAGAGACGTTGAGGATTCTTTGATTGCTCTGCTGCCACTCACCCGTGGTTCTCAGGCGCCCTGTTCTCTTACCTTCAGACTAGCCTCTCTGTGGCCTTCCACATGTCCCCCCAGCTAGGTGGTGTCTGCAGTGCTGAGGGGGATGCCAGAGGGATTAGGCCGGTATCGCGCATTTCTTTGGCTGCTCCTCTTGCCCCCCCGTAACGGGAGGTGTGGGTGTGAGCACCGTGGGGTGTGCTGAGCAGACTCGTCAGGAGCTGGGCCCGCTGAGTGGTGAAGGGGACGCCCATGACTGCTGGGGCCCTGCTGAGGTGGATAAGCCCCAGGAGTGTCAGCCAGGAGGCCAGCCCTGCCTTCAGTGAGGGAGGAGCAGTGCAGGGCCTGAGGTGTGGAAGGGGCTGCTGAGGTGATGCAGGTAGATGTGGTGAGTTCACATTTTTCTTACAGCAGCGTAGTATTCCACAGCTTCTTTATCCATTTGTTGGACATTGGGATTGTGTCCATATTCTGGCTCTTACGCTCAGTGAGCTAGGTGTGCACGTGTATTTAAAATGAATGTTCTTGTGTTTTGTGGGCAGATATCAAGGAGTGCGATTATTATGTCGTCTCAAAGGTATATTCTCCCTTTAAAAAAATTGTCGTCTCAAAGCTATATTCTCCCTTTAAAAAAATCTGTAGTCTGATTTCTGAGATATCAGACAGACTTCCCACATCCGTCTATTACTTTGTCTAACCTGTTAAGTTGCCACTGTAATGTCTTGAAACAGATTTTGAATAAAATAAAATGGTGCATGTCTTCATCTGTATG